TTTGAATCATCTGTGAAGTGATTGTCAAAGAGTTCAAGGACGACTAAATTCTTTAAATGCATATTAGGCGCACTAAAATCTGGTGCAGGTGAGTACCACAAAATCCATCTCAACTTTGGTAGACAATCGATAAAATCCCCAAGAAAGGTCCCATTAGATAATCTCAAGAACCTCAAACTTTCGAACCTTTCAATTTCTTCATTTGTAATTAAGATATGAGAACTCCTTCCTCGTAGATCAAGTGCTTCAACCTTTTTCTTCCTCTGCCAATAAATGATTGTAGTGATTAGTAGAATTTTGTCAGTAACCACTAATTTTATTCACGATTTGAATGAATGAATTGGAAGACGAGATCATGAGTAGAAAGTTAAATCCTCTAACGCAGGATGTCACTTTTTTCATTTGAAACCGATAATTGTCTTACCTCTTTGGTTCTCACTAATTCAAGGACCTCCGCACTGATCCACAGCCTGCTACGCTTCCCAAGATTTGTAGGACTTTCTTGACGTACAATTTCACGTCCCAAGTCTCTCAATTGATCATGCATCCAAAACTTATTGTTATCCATTATCTTTATCAAGGACATGCTAACAAGTACATCAATTTCCATGTTAGGATAAAGTTTACAATCAGTCCACATGTAAATGGCATTAGCCATATCCTCATTGATGAAAAAGCATGCGACATCAAGAAAAATTTTGCGCTGACGATCGTTAAGGGCGTCATAGCTAATCATCAACTTCTTCTGTACTTTTTCGTCGGGTATTTCTCTTAACTTGTCTAATGTGTCCTTCCATATTGCTTCCTGTTTTTGACAAAGTAATGAACCTACAATTTCAAGAGCCAAAGGAAGCCCCCCTGTAGTAGAGACAATATCTTTTGAGAGGCTGTCAAATTCCTTTGCCAGAGAGCCTTCAAGAAACGCATGCCTCCTGAAAAGTTGGAGTGCATGGTCAAAATTCAACTCCTTCATTTCATAAGCCAGAATTCCTTCCTTAATTTGCAGTACACTCGTGTTCCTAGTGGTAATAATTATTCTTGTTCCTGGATGCAACCGATCTTGTCCAATTAGATTCTCAATTTGTTCTTTCTCATCAACGTCATCAAGAACAATGAGAACCTTCTTACTGCCAAGTGTTTCTTGAATCCTCATCCTTCCGTAATCAACATCATCAATAATGTCTGCTGCTCTAGGACTAACAATTTCTCTTACTAACTTCTTCTGCAACTCGACTAAACCCTCCTTCTTCGACTTTTCTCGAATATCATCAAGGAAGGCGCAACACACTCCAAAGTGAGAAGAAAGTTTGTTGAAGACGACTTTGGCAAGAGTGCTTTTACCGATGCCCCCCATCCCATGAATTCCGAACAGCCTCACATCACTACAGTTAACATTTAACAATTTCAGCACTTCTTCTACTGGACCATCAAGTCCGACTAAATGTTCAGTCACAAACTTATATCTTCTCTTCAGCCTGTGCAAAACCTCTTTAACTACCAACTTCACAAGTTCCGCTTGGCTGCCACAGATAGAAGCCAGTTCATTAGTTCGAAAAGCTACATCAATCAAAAGAGTCGCACGATAGCCTCTAAATCCAGAAAACAGTGTAATCTTTAATTGTTTATCCAATATAATTCTTGCATATGACTGTACGTGTATCTTTTTCAATGATGTCAAGATTTGCCAATTTATTTATCTCATGGTGTCCCGTGAATTGGACGGACAAGATTCTAGAGCCAGAAATGTCAGGGGATCATTAGAGCTTACCTTCTGCATTTTGGTAGTTCCCAGCCCTTGATCTGATCGACCTTCATAAGAGCCCCCTCCCAAGATTCTACTTCGCGAGGGAACTTCTTCTCGTGCTCGAGTATGGCCGTCTTGTACAGTGGGGTTTTAAGCTTCACATCGTCAGGCTCCACGTCGAAAAAAATGGGCAGGATCTGCTTTTTTAGCCTCCGACATGGATGTGTTGTCTACGATCCTCGCGAGCTCGCGGAGACACCACTTGCTATCGGCGTACTTCCTCGAGAAGATGGGTACGTAGATCCGGGAGCCGTCGATCGCCCGCAGAAGCTCCCCACCAATTTCTTCGCCCGGGCGGAGTTCTTCCTCGTCTCTGAAGACGCGAATGCCGTTATCCATCAAGCCACGGTAGAGGAAGTCGGCGAATGCGTCGCTGGTGTCTAGGCCGCGGAAACTCAGGAATAGTTGGTACTCGCCTGCTCTTGTGCTGCTGCTGCTGCTCCTCCTTCCAGCATCTGAGTTCGCCATTGCAGGAGCTTTTTACTTTGCAAGTTAGGGTCGATCGTTGCTATCTCTCTGAGTCTCTCTGTGCGGGTTCCTGGCTAACATGTGAGGTGAGTTTGGTCTTCCCTAGGCTAAGAAATGTGGAAGAAGAGGCCCGAAGACGAGAGAAGTCAAAAACGAGAGAGCTTGTTGGGCCTTCCATCGAAGGCCCAACTCAGCCCCTCGGCCCATCTAGTTGAATAAAAAGGGAAAGATGATCTTCGGTTCTCCTCTGTGCAGCTCGAAGAAAGGAAAAGGAAAGAAGGAAAGGAGACAGTGAGCAGAGAAAGAACACAGGAGGAATCGCTGGCGGGCTACTGAAAATATTGATTGATGCTGGAAAACGCCATTTGCAAGCAATTGGTATGAGTTTTTTTTTCTAATTGTTTTTCTTAGAGTATAAATTTGGAGCTTTAACCACGTCGACTTCGACGGTGATACTCCGATTGAGTTTCTGTTATCCAATAGTAATAATAAGGTCCCTCACAGCCCTATGAACATTCTTGTCCATTCTAAAGTAGAGGGAGATAATGCGATTATTCTAACTCCATTCTGAACTTAAATTTGTTTAACATGAACCGTCTTTTATTTTCGGTGTTGCATTCAGACTTCATGAAAGACCAAATTCGTTTAAGCATGAATAATTTCAACTTACCTATCCCTAGCAGTTTAGTGGGGCGGACCATGATAAAAAAAGACTCTTACTCAAATCCATACATGATTAAGAAAACTTTTCAAATGTTTATCTATAGAATCGATAAGGTCTCAAAGGGTTGAGATGGACAAATCAGGCTCAAGAAGGGGATTTCTTGTTCGAAGCACGAACTGCATCACATGTGGTGCCGAGTAGAAATCAATCGAATATAATATTTCATACTTTTCATGGTTAACAAAGCCTTGGTCGTTCACTAGTTGCACCAGATATTATTTCCATTCTAAACTTTATATGTGCAGCAACCTGAATCTTGCTGCAATTTTCTCACATTGAACATGTTAGTACACCTACTTATTATGTGTGCAGAAACCACACATATGTGAATTTCCTCTTCTTCTTTTTTGAATTTACACACAAAAGCTGTGTCCAAAGCCATTTATGGCTGTGAAAATAACAGATATTAATGCATATGCACGTGCAAAGGTATGTGTAAGGGGGTTGTATTGTTTCAAATGTAAAGGACTTGAATTTTAGTCAATATATGTGATTCGGTGCGTGCATGAAGAGAGACCTCTTGTGATCTCAAAGGATGCAATATATTTTTGGAATATCAAAGGGTACAAATTGTGAAGGGCAAAATTGAAATTAAAATGTTCCGAAGCACCCTCTTGTGTTTCACATTTTTACGTAGTGTTTGGTCGATTTAATAAGTATCATCAAAATTATGTGGTGTCCTATCTAAGTTTGAGTTATCAGCTAACTTACAAATGAACATGAAGACGTACATTATTTCAGCACAAAATAAAAGAACTTTTCAGATTATTCGAAATAAATCTATATATTTAATGGTGCTTCTTTATCTATCTTAATAATTAACATCCACCTAGTAATGCAAGTTACAACTAAACCTTGAATTATCTTTATGTTCTATACATGGCCATTCATATTATCATATAGCATTTCCAATTTGACCATTTATTATAACTCTAGAAAACAAATTCCAAGAAGTCTTCATACATATAGAATCACCACAGAAGATCTCATTATTTCAAAATAAATTGATATAGCTTACAAGTTTAAGAAGAAACTTTTCTTTAGGGCTACATTGACTCGCAAATAAGCAAACTAAAAACACAATAATGTATACAGCTATTAGAGAAAATAAAAAGGGAAGTGGAAGGATAAAATTATGAACTAAGTAGATATGTGAAATTTGACATATATCTATTCTTATCTAAAATTTGTCAATCTAGGCGTTTGTTCTCAAATATATGTATTTCAGAAATGAAATCATTGATAGCATTTTGGGAAGAAAGAAGGTAAGAGATCCCTTTACAAATATATAAGCATCTCTGTTATATAGTAAAGAGTGAAATTCAATAATTTTAATTATTCACACTACACCAACATCTAATTAAATAGGATATAATTTAAGACGAAATAATAATGTAACCATCCATAACACTTATGAACTTTTGTTGTTATGTAAATGAATTACAAGGTCGTTCATATAAAATTATGCTTATGCATGCATTTTATATTGAAAAATTTAATGCAAAAAAGTAACAAGTTTTATATATTTAAGATATTTTTGTACGGTAGTAATATTAACACGTGATGAACAATTTTCTTTTAAATCCAACCGACTTTCAATGTACATAGTAAACTTTTAATAGAGAAAGTATTGAAATAAGTATGATTAATACTTTCCACTAATAAGTAATACTCATAATGTGATCTTGTGTGTATCTTTGTGCGTGTAATTTTTTATATGATGAAATAGTTTTTCAAGGATCAACATAGAAATTCACTACAACGAATTTTAGTGGGTGTAAAAAGACGTGTTGAGTGAATCCTGTACATACTAAACTAAATTTCAAGTGCCGAATCCGATGGAGCCCGTCATTTATAATGATTTACATTCAATTTAGTACATATACTATGTTTTTATGGGATAAATGAATCACAACCGTTAATTTTATTGATCCATAGATGAAATGAATCATAGCTATTAATATCGTGGCTCTCATGTGGACCCACCTGTGGACGGCCGAGATTCAGTTGGTCCAGAAAGAAATTCCCCCTCGCTCGTGCCGAACATATACTTTGTTCCGAGACACATCGATAGTTCCGAAGTCAAAACTCATTAACCAAAGACACTCCCTAGGACAATACAATCTGACGAGACCGAACACAAGATTAGACATCTCTCTTGGATGATGATCGTCTCCTACATCTGATCCGAAGAGGATCGAGCTCACCGGTGATTACAATGGGGTTCAAGTTCAACCTGAACGCATCGTGTCGTTCCACCACGACGTACGCCTCTTACTTTGCATGGTGTTTGTCTTACCAGCCACCACCGCTCGGTTACCACCGCACGCCTCGCGGCGTGTCCGCCATGTTCGCCGCCATAATGCTCGGTGGACTGTAAGTCACTCTCTTCTCTTCTTTTTCTCTTCCACCTCAAAACTTACCAACAGAGAAAAGCAAAAAAGTAAGTTCCAATCTTCAAACTTCATTGCATTTGGTCAGGGCCTTGGGACTACTCGCTCCTACCATGCTCGCGTTCATCAAGTCAACAGCTTCCAAAATCTTCCGCAAACCCACCACGACAGCCAAGAGAGAGACAAACAACCCCGACGTGGCAATGAGCAGCGGCGACGCGCCGGCACCGGCTGGCGAGGAGTACGAGGTGTTCTTGAGCTTCAGGGGACCTGACACTCGCACCGGGTTCACCGATTGCCTCTACCACGACATGCTCGGTGCCGGAATCCGCGTCTACCGAGACGACGAGGAGCTCCGCATCGGCAGGGAGATCGGCGGAGAGCTCATGCGGGCGCTCGACGTGTCCAAGATCTATGCGCCCATCTTCTCCAGGGACTACGCGTCGAGCCCGTGGTGCCTCCGCGAGGTCACCCACATGGTGGACTGCGCTGCGAGGTCGAACAGGAATAAGGAAATATTGCCGGTGTTCTACGACGTGTCGCCTTCTGATGTGAAGCTCAGGACTGGGCTGTACAGGAATGCCATGGCCAAGCACAGGAAGAAGTTTGGGGCTGAGGAAGTGAATAGGTGGGAGGATCCTCTGGTGGAAGTTGCTGAATTGAAGGGATGGGACCTCAAAGCTAGAGGCTAATTACTAATTTTCCAATTCTCTGTTCTTTCCTTCATTTTTCGTGTCATTCATACACAATCTGATTGTTTTATTAGAATTTACAATTTCAAGTCCTCAGTCTTTGCCATTTTCTGAGTGAATAAGATTTCTGGGAGTTTCGACAGTTAAAAATTGGCAGTAAGTAAGTGTACATTGGCTCATTGATGTATAGACTCGTGACTTCAACAGCCAACTTTTTTCTGTTCCTGACTTTGATCAACTTTCATCAGTGGTCGGTAGGAGTATGCTGCTGAGTTGATTAGCTCTCTGTTTTGGTCATGCTCACTTGTATATCAACCACATCAGGAAGTTCCATAAAAAAATATTTCAGTCATCTGGCTAGTCTAGAATGCAATTTCTAACTTCTGAATACAGTACAAACGGAAACCAAACAAAAGCAATCAAGGGGTAAATCGTAGTTAATTATCGTATCAAAGAAAGTCTTTGCGATGAGATGATATTGCATACCTCCTCCTCTGTCATACATGTGGATTCCATAGATCTGGAACCTACAGATACTCGAGGTGCGTACAAGTACCAAAATACTCAAGACTTTTGCCTGTATGTTATGCCTTATCTAAAATCTAATATTACATAAGTACTCTGATGTTTTAAGGAGTGAAGCAACTAGTGATTTCTGAGGAATGCCTTCCGTTAGCAAGGCTTCTCCCTTTTCCTCGCCCATCTTTTACCCTTCACTGGATTCTTTACTCTTTTTCTGTCTTCTTTTCATCAATCCTTACTCTAAGGTTTTCCTTCTGTTCTGGCTCAACTCATATCTTTTACTTTACTTATAATTCGAGTTATTTATTCCATCCTGCTCAATCTAGCTTAGAAATTGTTTATGAAGCATGAAGAACTTTAAGCTTGAGTTGTATTTCCTATCTTCTGCTCTTTTTCTCTGACTCCTTGTTTGCGTATCATCTATGTTGAGTAAATCCAAATACTGGTGCTTCAACTTGAAAGATATGATAACGTCTTTATTTACCAACTCTTTTCAACTGACGTAGTTCATATATGTGGCAGGCATGGGGAAGCTATTAAGTTGATCATCCGAGAGGTTTTTGGTTAAGTTGAAGATAAAACATAAGTATGTGACAAATCAGTTGGTTGGAGTGGATGATCATGTAGAAGACATGATGAAGCTGTTGGATGTTGACTGTGAAGGTGTTCGTTTTATTGGTATTCACGGGATGGGTGGTGTTGGTAAAACAACACTTGCGAAGGTTGTCCTCAACCAGCTGTGTTTGCACTTCGACGATTGCTGCTTTCTTTGAGATGTTCGAGAATCATCAGAAAAAGGGGGCCTAGTAAATTTGCAGAAACAATTATATTCTGACATTCTCGACTCTAGATTCGTGGACAACATTCATGACATTGATGATGGGATTAACCATATCGGGACAAGATTTTGCAACAAAAAGGTCCTCATCGTTTTGGATGATGTGGATAAAGAAGAACAACTAGAGAAACTAGCAGGGGCACGAGGTTGGTTTGGCTCAGGAAGTAGGATTATCATTACAACCAGGAATGAAATTACTTCAAAAGTCCTGGATGATATTTTGATTTACGAATTAAAGGAACTGGATTATGATCAACCTCTTAAGCTTTTCTGTATACATGCTTTTAGAAAAGACTCTCCACTATATCAATATGATACTCCTGCATCAGAAATTGTTGTCACAACTGGAGGGCTTCCTTTGGCTCTTGAGGTCATAGGCTCATTTCTCTATCGCCAACCGGAAGAGATATGGAAAGAGACTGTAGAGAGGCTAGCAAGAATACCTCATAAGGATGTTCGACAGCAGTTGATGATCAGTTATGAAGCATTAGAAGATGAGGAAAAGCAGATTTTTCTTGACATTGCATGCTTTTTCGTCAATGACACAAAAAAGATGAATGCAAATTACATGTGGGAAGCATGCAGTTTTATTCCTGAGACTGGGATTCAGGTTCTTATGCAAATGTCTTTGGTAAAGATTGTCGATGGTGATATAAATATGGATGCACGACCAGCTCAAAGATCTTGGGAGGCAAATTGTTCAGAGGGAATGCTTGCATGATCCTGGAGAGCATAGCCGGGTGTGGGTTTTTGAGGAAGCCCTCGACGTTGTAAGAACAAAACAGGTAAAAAAAATTCACTGTTTTCATGAATTGGGTATGTGTACAAAAGAGTTCACATTTCCACTTAGATGCCTCTCGGTTCTTTACCCCAAAAGAGAATCTGAATATTGTCAAAATCATGCTTGTACATTTGTGTTCGTTTTGGCAGAGAAAGAAAAAAGTTCAGGCGCTCATATTAGCTGGAAGTCATTTTCAACCACTCGTAATTACGCATGAAGAACTTAGTAGATTGCCCAACCTAAGGTTCCTTGAATTAGAGGAGGGAACCTTTGCTGGAGATTTTGGGGATGATTTTTCAAAGTCAAGATGGATTTCTTGGTATTCTCCTAGGCCACTAGATCTTGAGGTAACCAATCTTTCTATGAAGAATTTGGTTGTCTTTGAGATCGTTTCAGGCAGCATCACAGATGACTGGAGCGGATGGAGCCTAATGAAGGTATGATACGCATTCAGTTTAATTCTGATTGGAATATAATGTAATATTTACTATTTTCTTCTCTTGATGGTCAATTGCTTTTCTTAGATGGCAAAAAATTTGAAAGTTCTAAACATCAGAGGTTGCGAAGGCATAACTAGAACACCGGACTTCTCTGGATGCTTGAGTCTAGAAAGGCTGAGTTTCTATAACTGCATAAACTTGGTCAAGATTGACCGCTCCATTGGGAAGCTAAAGCGCCTGATTTACCTAAATCTTAAAGAGTGCATCTCTCTTAAGGATTTACCCGAAGAAATTGGAAGGCTTACAAATCTGAAGCACTTTGCTTGCAGTGGATGTTTTCAGAAACTTCCAAATTGATTTGGGAAATTGACATCACTGACGGAGTTGGATTTGTCCAACATACAAATTGAATGCCTTCCTGATTCTATTGGTGATAAGAAGTTTCTGTCTGTCCTTAATCTAAGGTACACACAAATTAGCAAACTTCCGGAGACTATTGGAAAGCTTGTGAGACTTGAGTCTCTTTCGGTCTTTGGGTGCTTAAAGTTGGAAAAGCTCCCGCACACAATTGTGAAGCTAGAGTCTCTGTAGGAGTTGAATCTGTCCAGTACTAAAATTGTTAAGTTACCAGATTTGATGGGAAATCTGAAGAACTTGAAAGTGTTATCGATGGAACATACTCTAATAAGGAAATTGCCCAGTACTATTGGAATGTTAAAGAATCTGGAAGAGCTACATGCTAGTGGTTGTGAAGAATTAAGTGGTGAAATTCCTAGTGAAATTGGTGCATTGTCCTCTTTGAAAATCCTCGAACTATCAGATGCCCATATTTCTGGAGTGCCGACGACAATCAATCACGCTCCACACCTTGAAAGACTGGACTTGACAGGTTGTAATGAGGTTCAAGGATTGCCAGAGCTTCCAAAAAGTCTGATCTATCTGCATTTTCGATCATCGGCATTGCGTATAGCTCTGGATCTCTCAAACTTGACTAATCTGGTCGATTTGCTCTTATCTGATGGCTCTGAAGATGTGCTTCAAGCCTCGTCAGATCTGTTGCCAAGTTCTAGCTTAGGGTGGATTAGGAGGTTATCCAAACTAAAGAAGTTGGATTTGTCCCTTTCTAATATCCCTGCACCACCTACTGAGTTTGGTTCTCTTCCTCATCTAAATGAGCTTATTTTATCTGGACTAGACCTGCAATCTATTTCACAGCTTCCTCCTTCCTTATTGGAGCTGCAACTTGTTAATTTCAACTCAACAGTATCTTGGTCAATCTTTTCCAACTTGAAAAACTTGTCCAAGCTACGGCTTTCTCAATCTCAGCTTCAAGAAATTGAACTCAGTGGACTCGAACAACTGAGAGCATTGTCAGTGACTAAATATGAACTCCTCAAGAGGTTATTCATCCCGGAAAGTTTAAAGAAGCTTAAAGAATTGTGGGTATCAGAATGTCCAAAGCTAGTTGAGATTGAAGGTCTGGAGGCCCTAGAGTCCTTGGAAGAAATGTATATACAGGACTGTGGTTCCATTAAAAGGTTATTCGACCTATCAAACTCAAAGTTGCTGAATTGTTTGTTTATATCAGACTGCTATGAGCTTCGTGCTGTTGAGGGTCTCAGCGGGTTAGAATCTTTGAATGCGTTACTTGTTTATGAGTGCAGTTCACTGGAGAAACTAATTATTCCATCGAGCTTATATAAGCTAAAACAATTGGAGGTTTCGGGATGTCAGAAGCTGAGTGAGATTCCAGGCCTTTGTGCGTTGGAGTCATTGGAGACTTTAACCATTAAAAAGTGTCGATCTATAATCAAACTATGCGAGTTATCAAACTTACAGATGCTGAAGTCTTTGTCAATCGTTGGATGCCATGAGCTACAAGTTATTGACGGTGTTGATGAGTTAGAATCTTTGCGCGACTTCCATGTTTCTAGCTGTCGGAAACTGGAAGCTCTGATGGATGTATCAAACACGAAGATACCTGATGAGTGCCTAATAACAATTCGGAAGTGTCGGAAATTACAAAGCCATGGTTATCCTAATGTTGAGGACCTTCCGTATAGGGATTACAAGGACATGATTGTTACAACATCAAACTCTCCTTCAGAGTCACTCCCTTCAGAGACATCAGATGAGGTATGCATATTCTTCTTCAAAAGCAGTCGCATAGCCCTTGCCCCTTTTCTGCTACCCTCTATAGCATAAGTAGTCTTGTCTTGAAGACTATAAGATCTGACTTGTTTACGCATTCCACCTTCGCATATTATTTCTCTTCATCGAATCTATCAGGAAAAACTTAAAACGTAGCCAAATAAAGCAATTAAGTATGATGATCTTTAAAAGGAGAAAGTACCGCCTTAAGAGACAGATTAGTTATGGTTCACTGTGTTGTCATTCATTACAAGACACAGCAAATTTTCATTTCTTTGTAGGAAGAAGATGAAACGAACGATGAAGGGGAAGAACTGGAGGTGGATAGAGACAGTTCTGACGCTAATAGCTCCCCCATGATCATAACTTCTCAACCTGATACCGAGCTTTGACTTTGATTTCTTTCATCTGCAAGTTCTCAGGATGAAGAGACTCCCATTGTGAGCGATGGTGAAGAAGGGACCCAAATATGACCTCAATCTTTCGTGATTGCATCAGGGAGATTCATCTCTAATTTCTTCCTACTCAGGAAAGAAGAAGGGATAGAGTCACTGTAGGACCCTAAACTTTTCTAAATTGTTTGATCAGGTTTTTGAATTTTTCTATGCAATTGAGTCCTTGAAGTATTTTTTTTTTTGTTCGAGTTAATCTTTTCGTTAAAATGTAAACGGAAATGCTGGGGTGGACTGATACATTGGTGCCACTTCAATGCTGATCGGACTTGGTACTTATGTGTAATTTCCTAAGAGAGAAAAAGAGAAGAACAGGGAGGCTCTAAGGGCAGGTGGTGGTGCTGCCCATGTGCCGACGAGGGTTGTCGGGTCCTTGTTGGCCGTCGCATGGCCCTCATCCGGGTCAGGCGATAGCTGGGGCCGCAAAACCCAACTGTTGATTGCTCGGGTCATGCGATATTGGCCAAGGTTAGCCTGGTCTGGGATCATTTACCTAGGCGAAGGCAAGCTTTGACCTCAGGTTCTACAACCTCGGCCAGGGAGGGTTGGGTCACGAGATCATCACTATCGATCGTTAGGGTCACATCGCTCGGCAAGGGTCGCTCAACCGCAGCAGCACAACCAAGATCAAAATTTGGCCTTCGCTGGGATCGTACGACACTAGCGGTGCCTCGCCTCCTCTTTGTCCGTCTTTTTTTTCCTTCAAAATTTCCATCTTTCTTAATTTCTTAAGAATTATTTTTTAAAATATTCTTTACCTTTAAATTATTTTTTTTATTTTTTAAATGCCACCTAAGATGCCATGTCAACATTTAACGGTAGCTTAACGGCAATGTCAACCTTTTCATCCTCAATTTTGATGGAATGACTAACTTGAAAAAAAAAAAGGATATATTTCAGGTATCTGTTTGAATAATTTGGAAAAGTAAGGATCTTTGGTGTCTTTATGCAAAAAAACAAGAATTCTTCGAGAGATTCAAACTCAGAATTAATTTACTACAATTTTGTGTACAACAGTGTCAAATATAGGTGCTTTTATGTGTACATGATGCAGCTACTGCATATTTCAATAGTTGTTCGCTTGAATTTGTTATATGTTTAATAACATGCCACTTGGGCCTCGAAACATGTGTCGCTTGTCGACCCTTTACTTGGTCACCTAGGATCTATTTGGTAACATTTCTATTTTTCTATTTTTTTATTTTTTTCTTCCTCGGAATCGAAGGAATTGCAAAAGATCAGGACCATATGTATGTCTATCAAGCAACCATCATGACCAGAGAGAGGGTAACATAACCTAATGATTCTCGCTTGGTTTCATCCACGGAATACCACATTGGGAGTTCCTACTGTAGCTATGCGACGCGTTATGGGATCTGATATGCAAGGGACGGGTATGGAGAGGGAAAAGCAATGATGAAGTTAAATCAGTAGCTTCAACAATTACTTAAGAGATCACTACTGAGACTATTAGTCAGGAAGGTCCAGAATATGCAAGTTGTAGGTACTGCCATGTATTTTTCGTATGTTCCGAAACATATAAGCGGTCTCATCTCAGGGTACCACAGTGCAGTGACGAGATTCACACAAGTGTTGTGACAGGGACAGAGCAGTCTAGGAACAATCACGTTCCAATCATGTCATCGTGTAGGTTTTAACTTTAACGTCAGAAGGCTCGCTCCGGGAAGTTCATGGAATATGCCATGCTTCATCATTGACGTTATTCTATGAAACTTGGTTGATATGTGATAGGAACCTGTATTGTCGTAACTTGGACATTTCCTGTTGTGTCTTTTAGTATCTTCTCTCGCATAACTGCACAATCCAGTGCGAAAAAAGCATGAAGCTTCTAAATCAACATCCTCTCGCAGTATCTAGTACTAGGAAACTCAGCAATACTTGATACTCGCCTCCTCTTGCATTGTTGCTACTCGTTATCTGAGTTCACCATAGGAGCTTTACTTCGCAAATTATGGTCAATCGTCTCTCTCTCTCTCTCTCTCTCTACACGTTCCTGGCTACTATCAAGGTGAGTTTGATGTATCTTAGAAATGTTGCAGAGGTTCCTTAATGTGAACGACAACCAGACTGTGTGGGCACTAGTAAAATATAACAAACAAGCAAACAAAAGTAAGCTGAATGAAATAAAATTATCACACATTTCTAATTATGACATTGGTGAACTAGCGACCTGTGATAGTCCTTTGTCAGCAGTACATAAAAATCAAAACTTAGTAAGCCAAATCAAAATTAAACTGTCACATTACGTCTCATCTCACAATTATGAGGATACTATTACACATTTCCGACCTCATGGTTGGGGAGTTTCCATATGAATACAAGGCAAAAGTCGGGAAAATAGGAGAAATAGAGGAGCGATGATAGATTTTTCAAAACCTGCACTTGCGGGAGGCTGTCACGCAGTAAGTAGACATGACTCATTTGAGATCATCTCTAAAATTTGCTCTGGAATTACTCGTCTTAGTGCAAAATTGAAGGAGATACCAAGAGAGCATGCGGATGAAACACAGCATTGAAGATTTGAATTTGCCTTCTCCTTTTATAACTTCATCCTACTTCGACAAGTTCTTACCGGGAATTGATCTACTATTATCCTACTCATTAAGGGCAATCGGACAGACCTGAATTTGCAGCCAAGTTTTGTAGTTTTTTGGTCGGAATGCCAAGTTTAGTGCAATAGCTTGTTTTTTTATCAAACTCTTCATGTCATGTAAAAAGTTTCCAGCACATAGATATATTGAACGAGTATTACCGGTAAGATGAATAATTCCTAAAACACATATAATTCATTACTTTTTATGCTAAAAATGGGAAGATTCGCATATGGCGCCGTGACAGGAAGAGCAGTCTAGGAACAATCACCCTCCCAAGTACCCCTTTTCTGTGGCACTTTTCTTCGAAGTGGTTCATGGAACATGCCATGATCCATCATTGTCTATTTTGTGTGACAAAATTAAACTTGGTCGATAAGAACCTGTATTGTTATGAGTTGACCTCTCATTGTGGTCCTTTTAGTATCGTTTTTACTCATGACAGAACAGTCCAGAGCGACAATAGCAAGAGGTTTCTAAATGAGCAGCCTTCCCTGGCAAGCTAATTGTTATGAAATTGCACCTGTGGTTATCTTTATCTAACGAGTCATAACTTATACCCTACCAAAAAGAAGGATGGTTTTTCAAGCTGGTAACTGCTTGATGGACCTTATTTTCCACCTATTACGGGTTCTACTTTGACTAATATGAGGGATTGGGGTTTAGTGGAGAGAGCTTTTCACCTAACAAAAGCGTAAAATTCATTCGAATATTGGAACTTCTAAGCGCAATTGTCTCGTTTGACTCAAGTATGTATATCAGGCTTAAATGTTCACAAATTTGCCTCGAAAGCTCCTGTGTATGTATGGCATTAAATCTTCTCAGACTAATATCAATGCATTGTCGAATCAAATCATGTCTTTCACTCTGTGAACGCTTCTTCTCTGATTTATTCAGCTTCATAAATATGGTAATGAGAACTTGTCAGCATATACAGTTTTGACCAAAAGCTTCCTGGAGTGCATTCAAGATCTTGCTCCCCAAGGACCGATTAGAGGAGCTTTGCATTGCACAGTGAAGTCGCGGCCAACCTTGCTGCTGGTTAGGCATTGCACAGGCGAAAATGACATCTTTTCCCCTGTTAGTAATAGAAGCATAACCAATTCCTGCAGCATTATTTCAACAAGCATGCAGTTTCAACCAACACAGAGATAAGAGTTATGCTTGATTAAACCCTCTATAGCATAAGGCATTTATCTTTGCTGAGTCTTGCTCAAGGTTTCTGTACTCATCCCGACTTTCAAACCAACTCCATAAATTCAAAGCAAAGTGAGAGTAACATATGCTAATATAATGCAAGTCTTTCTTTTGTTTGATCATGTAGATTTGATATACTTAAGCACGGGTAAAATACCAGTAACTAACTAAAAAGTAACTGCTTTTATATATTCAATTTCCAAAAGATCCTTAAAATTATAGTGGTGAGAGGCTTGACTCTCTAGCAGAGATATATGAAATATCAGTAGTAAAATTCATTAGCCATAAACTGTGGTGTATCCTTTAATAGATGTTAGAGACATTATTGTATTTGGCGATGATAACAGCATTAAGAATAATTTAGAATGGGATTGTGATGCCTACTATGCGTGCACAGAAGAAGAAATAGAAGGAGCCGCACCTCATTTCTCTCTCTAATTCAGAGTCTGAGGTCACGGATTTGGATATTGCTCCCTCCGAAGAAGATTCATCTTTCTGAAACGCTTTAAAGGAATATGACTTCCTGGTAAAGAGTTGAGTATCTGCTTGCAACAGCAAAGTTGTATATGGCACTTACCTTGTATCTTCACCTTCGAAACATCGATTAATGTTTCCAGTGAGCGACACCTGTAGACACTCAACTCTATCAAACACTCCAATTCATCAAGGCCCTCAACAACCCTCAGCCTAGAGCACTAGGAGATGCGCAGACGGAGCAAGTTCCTCAGGTTCGAGATACCGCTCAACTTCTCCATAGCTTCACACCCTTCAATGAAGAAGTTTCTCAATGATAACAACGTATCTATAGCTCGAATCTCAAGTAGGTTTTGACATTGTGACACTCGAAGTTCTCGTAGATTCTTGAAGGCATTTGTAAGCAAAAACACCACCCATGCACAGACAGTCAACTCACTGGAAGACTCTGATTCATTGAGGACTCTAACAGCTCCTACCTCATGGCAACCTATCCTTTCGATAGATCTGCAGTTGCTGATTAATAATTTCTCCAGTAATCCTGACGTGTCAAGAAACTGAATCTCAATCAGCTTTGAGCAATCAGATACTAGCAGTGTCCTTACGCTTGAGGGGATGAATATTCTCTCGAGAAGTTGAGAATCACGGAGCTTTAAAATGTACAAACTTCTCAAGTTAAATTCAAGGGATCCCATGTTGAAGAACTCGAGTACTGGGGAAAGTAAAGAAGGCGGAAGCAGCTTTAGGTGCTGTAGATCTAGTCTACTCAGAGTCAGTTCTTGAAGAAAAGAAAGGAGGCCTAACTCTGCAGGCGGTGCAGCGACATTTGAAAGGCACAATGTCAGCATCTTTAGTTTGGTTAGCGTCCCAATCCACTCCAAGTCACATGTCTGCATTCTATCCCTCCTGGCTAGATCTTGAGAGCCATCAGATAGGATCAACTCTTCTAGATTGGTAAGGTTTGACAGATTGGGAACCAACCGAAGTGAACGACATTCAACCCGTAAACAGACTAAAGTTGCAGGAAGCTCTGGCAGCTCTGCAATCCAATCACAACATGTTAAGTCAAGTGTCAGGAGGCAAGAAAGCATGCTGACTGTGCTTGGAACACTTCGAATCCTGGTAAATTTTAGATCCAGAATTCTTAGAGAGGACAGACTTCCAATTGTGAGAGGAATTCCTACCAACCCTGTGCGATGACCAAGATAAAGCTCTTCCAGATTTTCCAACGTTCCAATAGCATTTGATAACTCCCATCGGTTTTCACGCAATTGAGTCCAGTGACCCGAAAAATCCAAAGTACGTAGTGATTTTAACTTCCTGATGGAGTTGGGAAGTCTGTCCTAGCTTTTGATACAGAATAAGAGATTTTAGTTCCCCTAATCCTTCAATTGAGTTTGGAACTTCTGTGATACAAGAGCTGTATAGGTTTAGAATTGACAAATGCCTTAGTTTTCCGATGGAATCAGGCATGCTTGTAATTCTTGTCATGGAAATGTCCAACTCCATTAATGATGCTAAGTCATCGATAGATACGGGGAGTTTGCGCGCCATGTAACAGGCCTTTAAAGAGAAGCGCTTAAGCTTAATTAGCTCTCCTATTTCTTCAGGCAAATCTTCAACGTACCCACACTGGGTAAAATTCAAGTCAAGCAAGTACTTTAGCTCTCCAATAGAGCTGTCGGTTTTCTTCAAACTCCCACAATTATCAAAAGTCAACCTCTCTAAAGTCGAGCATCCTGATAAGTCTGGAGTTCTAGTTATGCCACCGCATTCTACAAGAGCTAGAACTTTTAGTTTGCTTGCCATCTGCAAGAACAAATGGTAAATGTTAAGAAAAGGCCAAATATTTTCCAATGAGACGATCAGTACATATTTAAACACTACCTTAATTAGGCTCCACCGTTCTGAATCATCTGTGAAGTAGTTGTTGAAAAGTTCAAGGACTACTAAGTTCTTTGAGTGAATATTAGCCGCACTACAACCTGGACGAGGAGAATGCCACGAAATCCATCTCAACTTCGGAAAACAATCGGTCAAATCCCCATCGAAGGTCCCGTTAGATAATTTAAAGAACCTTAAGCTTTGAAACTTTTCAATTTCCTCATTCCTAATTAAGAGTACCACTTCCATGTAGATGAAGAGCTTCAACCTATTTCTTCCTCTGCCAATAAATAGTCGCAATGATTAGCTGAAGTTCGTCAATAAGCAGTAGTTTTATTTGACGATTTGAATTAAGTGAAAGAGAAGCTCATGCGCAGAAAACTGAATCCTCAATACAAGGAAAAGCACTTTTTTATTCAAAATCTAGTAGTTGCCGTACCTCTTTTGTCTTTAGTGTTTCAAGGACCTCTTCTCTTATCCACAACCTACTACGCTTTGCAAGGTTCTCATCACTTTCTTGACGAACAATTTCCCATCTGAGTTCTCTCAACTGATCATGCATGCAAAACTTATTGTCATCTAATATCTTGATCAAGGACATGCTGATAAGGACTTCAATTCCCATGTTGGGATAAAATTTACAATCCGTCCACATGTAAATTGAACTAGTCTTGTCCTCGTTGATGATAAAGCATGCTATATCAAGAAAAATGTTTTGTTGAAATTTGTCAAGAGCGTCGTAGCTAATCTTCAACTTCATTTGGACCTCCTCATGAGGTATTTCCCTTAACTTGTCCAACGTTTCTTTACATATTGCTTCATTTTTCCGATAAAGAAATGAACCTATCACTTCAAGGGCCAAAGGAAGCCCTCCGGTGGTAGAGACAATATCTCTTGAAAGGTTCGTCAAAATCATCTAAAGGAGAGTCTTTATCAAATGCGTGTCTACTGAAAAGTTGGAGTGCATGATAAAAAACCATCTCCCTCATCTCGTAACGCGAAATTTTATCCTCAGTTTACAGTAAACTTTTATTTCTAGTTGTAATAATTATCCTAGTTCCTAGATGCAAAGGATCTTTCCCTATTAATTTCTCAATTTGATCGCTCTTGTCAACATCATCGAGAACAATGAGTACCTTCTTATTGCAAATTGTTTCTCCGATCCTTGTCATTCCATAATCAACATCATCTATATTACTTGCAATGCTAGAATTACCAATGTCGGATAGTAACTTCTCCTGCAACTTGACTAATCCATCTTTCTTTGATTTTTCTTGTATGTCATCAAGGACGGTGCAACACTTTCCAAAGTGAGAAGAAAGCTGGTTGAAGATGACCTTGGCAAGAGTCGTTTTACCGATTCCACCCATTCCATGAATTCCAATGAGCCTCACATCACTACATTCAATGTTTAACAATTTCTTTACTTCTTGCACTCGATCGTCAAGTCCAACTAGATGTGTAGTCACGATCTTGTATCTTATCTTCAGCTTAACCAAAACCTCTTTAACCACCAATTTGATAAGTTCCGCTCGGCTGCCCAAAGTATAGAAGCCAATTTATTTCATTAGTCAGAACTCGAAAGATGAATATTGAGAGCCAAGTTATAACCATCAAGCGCCATACAATTTCCTCGTAGTACTCTGATCAGTATAACTATATGATATAAATAAGTAGTTATAAAGCACTTGTTCATCAATTATCCAAATGTCATTCTACAATGAATATTCCAAAACAGGACCATAGTAATCTGAATTCTAGTTAAGTGATGTTTATTACACCTCCAATACTACATTAATATGATTGCATTTATCAGTACGTTACCCTTTCATGCAACACAATCAGACCAAAGCGAGATCTATCATAAGCTAGATTTAATTTCAAAATAATGAACAAATGAAATTCCATCCTAATTTCAGCATGGACGACGCATCAAATTGCTATGTCACAATGCATTGGTAAGAGTTCAGATCATATCAAAGGTGGAACAGTAAATCTGACAAATATGAACTCCTCCAAAAGTAACATACCTACGAAGGAATATTTGTTCTCTAGGAATATATTCTGACAATCAAGTAGACTTCTATTAAGGATCTTTAGAGATTTTAGCTTTGGTATTTTGGCAGATTCCATCCCTTGATCTGATCAACCTTTATAAGAGCCTCTTGCCAGGCGTCTACTTCGTCGGAGAACTTGTTCTTGTGTTCAAGTATGTCGCAGTTATATAATGGGGTTTTAAGCTTAACATCATCAGGTTCCACATTGAAGAAAATGGGCAGGATCTTTTTCCTCCCATCAGACATAAATGTGTTATCTATGATCCTAGCGAGCTCACGGAGGCACCATCTACTAGAAGCATAGTTTTTTTAGAAGATAGGTATGTAAATTTGAGAGTTGTCGATCACTCGCAGGAGCTCTTGAGGGATCACTTCATCAAATCGAAGTTCTTCATCATCTTTAAAAACTCGGATACCGTTATGTACCAAGCCATGATAGAGGAATTCGGTGAATGCATCCCGAGTATCGGGTCCTCTGAAATTCCAGAACACTTGATACTCACCTCCTCTTGCATTATCATTACTCGTGCCGGCATCTGAGTTCGCCATGCCAGGTTTAGTTTCCAGACATCAATGCTTCGCCCACGAACGAATGTCCCTTAGCTAAAGGAAAGCTATGGTTTCTTAGAGAGAAACGCCCACGTCAATGTCTTACCAATAAAAGCTAAGATGGACAAGCTAAAAAACAAACTTAGCGGGCTGAATGAAATTTAAACTATTATATTTTCCAAACCATGTAGTGGTCATCTAGGAATGTTGTTTGTCCGATGGGATAAATTTTCTTTAATTTTCTTTTAAATCAAATTGACTTTTAATTTACACAGAAAATTTTTAATAGAGAGAACAATTAGAATAAATATGATTAATAACTTTCCATTTATCAGTAATACTCAAAATGTGATCTTGTATATATCTTTGTTGCTAATACGTTTTTACATGATGAAATAGTTTTTTAAGGACCAACATAAAAGTTCACTAAAAATAATTTTAGTGTGCATAAAAAAATGGTTCAGCCCTTACCAAAAAAAAAAATGGTTCAGTAAATCTCGTACGTATATTTGAAATGGTAAATCTGATGGGGCCCACTATGTATAATGATCCATTTTCAATACATACATACATACATACATATACATATGTTATTTTCTTATATTTTTCTTTACGGTTAAAAGCCACTAAAATCCTCAAACTATACCCTCCGTAACACATTTATCCTAAACTTTTTTTATAATACAAAAAATATCAAACTTGTATCTGTACGACACATTTATCCTCCATCAAAGTTCTGTCAACGAGGATTGTTAAAAATCTGCATACATTGACGCCGGTCAGCAAATGTTGTTAACATAATGCTCGCGTGGTAAATAAAAACGATGTTGTTTTAACTGAAAAATCATCTGACGAAATATTAATGGAAGGTGAATGTGTCACGTAAGTATAAGTTCGGGGCATCTTATGTCACAAGAAAAAATTTTAAGGTAAATTTATCCAAATAGACATAATTTGAGTTTTAAGGTAAATATGTTATGATGGGTATAATTTGAAATTTTTTTTTGTAGCTTTTTTCTCCGTTTCTTAGTGAGCACGTTAAGAAGCCCGTACTTTGTGGGCATGGAAGAATCGAAACGATTGAGTTGCTTAGTCATTACTCTTACAGCCGATTTGACGTTGCATCTTTTTCCCCCACTATTTCGGAATATTTGCACGAACTCGATACTTCGTCCCGATACCCATCGATAACCCCCTAAACAAGTCGACTCTCCGACCAAACACAACATCCATCAAGGAAGGCCATAATAATGTGATCAGACCGAACGCAAGATCACACCATCTCTCTTTGATGATCGTCTCCTACATCCGATCCGAAGAAGCGAAGAGCGAACTCACCAGTGATTGCGATGGCGCTCAAGTTCAACCTCAACGCCCCATGTCGTTCCACGGCGACGTACGGCTCTTCCTTCGCATGGTGTTCTTCTTGCCAGCCGCCGCCGCTCGGCTACCACCGCACGCCTCGCGGCGTGTCCGCCATGCTCGCCGCCATGATGCTCGGTGGGCTGTAAGTCGCTCTCTTACTCTTCTTTTTCTCTTCCACCTCAGAACTCACCAGCAAAAGAAGAAGATAAAATCCCATCTTCCAACTTCATTGCACTTTGTCAGCGCCTTGGGACTGCTCGCTCCCACCGTGCTCGCGTTCGTCAAATCAAAAGCGTCCAAAATCTTCCGCAAAACCACCACGACAGCCAGGAGAGAGGAGACAAACGACCCCCAAGCCGCGACGAGCGGCGGAGATGCGCCGGCACCGGCCGGCGAGGAGTACGAGGTGTTCCTGAGCTTCAGGGGGCCTGACACTCGCACCGGGTTCACCGATTGCCTCTACCACGACATGCTCGGCGCCGGAATCCGCGTTTACCGGGACGACGAGGAGCTTCGAGTAGGCAGGGAGATCGGCAGCGAGCTCATGCGGGCGCTTGACGTGTCCAAGATCTACGTGCCCATCTTCTCCGAGGACTACGCGTCGAGCTCGTGGTGCCTCCGCGAGGTTGCGCACATGGTGGACTGCACGGCAAGGTCAATTGGGAATAAGGAGATCTTGCCGGTGTTCTACAACGTGTCGCCTTCTGATGTCAAGCTCAGGACTGAGCTGTACAGGAATGCCATGACCAAGCACAGCAAGAAGTTTGGGGCTGAGGAAGTGAAGAGGTGGGAGGATGCTCTTGTTGAAGTTGCTGAATTGAAGGGATGGGACCTCAAAGCAAGAGGGTAATTACTAATTAGCCAATTTTCTGTTCCTTTGCTAATTTTTTTGTGTCGTTCATACACAATCTGATTGCTTTATTAGAATGTACATTGTCTTGGGTCTCAGTTGAATGCAAGTATGTCCTGTGTTGGGGGTGGTCACTGATGTATTGACTCATGAAATCTGGAAGACCCCAATTTTTTAGTCAACGACCAACTTTCAAGATTAATGAGTTTGGATAATCTTTATCCTGTTCCTGACTTTGATCGGCATTTCATTTGTGGTAACCGATAGGAGTAAACTAATGAGTTGATTAACTCTCGTTTTGGTCATGCTCACTCATATATCAACCGCATTAGGAAGTTTGAAAAAAAAAATTTCAGTCATCTGGCTAGAATGCAATTTCTAACGTCAAAAGGAGACCAAACAGGAAACATCTTGAAGTAAATCATAATCAACAATTATATCAAGAAAGTCTTTGCAATGAGACGACATCGAACACCTCCTCCTCCGTCATTTGTGTGGATTCCATTGATCTAGAACCTACAAATACTTGAGGTGCTTCTAAGTGCATTTGGCACAGCTTTACCAGAATACTTTGAGCTTGTAAAGACGTCTGGCAAAATATTGAGGTGTTTGGTAACAAAATTGCAAAGGCCTTTGAGCCAAAACTAGCATTTCCAAAGGTCCTTAACTCAATGTAAGCCCCACCCAGCATTGGCTTTGATCATTTCTGGAATACTACTTCAGGGTTTAATGAATTTTTTCTTCCAACTTTGTCCTCCCTAAACTACCCAATTTTCAATTTAACTCTCACCAGCTTTCCTGTACAGATCTGACACGCATCGCACTTCCACTGGCGGTGAGCTCAAATCTGAACGCCGGTGTGCCAAAATTGGCACTGGCGGTCCTCGCCTGAGGTTGCACGACCTTAGGTGTTGCATATGGTCCTTCTAGCGATAGATCACCCTGTCGTGGTCTATCGTAATCATAAGCATTTTATCATGATAATCTTTTAAAATTTCTTGTAAAACTAAAAAAAAATCTTAAAACAAACGGCTTAGATACATTTTTTTGTGATTCAATTGTTATCAGCTCTAAAAAAAGATGATTTTTCGAGGGATTATAGAACACCAGTCTCCATATCATTGGCAATACTCTTGGTTGGAGCCATCTTCAAGGCTTTCATGCCCTGTATGACACGTGGTATAACCAACCAATAAAAAATGAGATGCATGCATATATGGTGATAAGTAGGATGAGACTCATAATAAGTAGGGAATGTTGATTGATGGGTCAAATCATATCATCAATGTTACATAGCATATATATTCTTTGAAAACGAAATATTGTCGCTATTTGATAAAGATAATAATTTTAGAATGCATATTGTTTCAATTCTCGAAGTGATTCGACTGGTTATTACTCTTTTTCAGTTAATTAAGTTTAATCACTATAGCTTGAGTCACATTTCCTATTGGTAGTATAGAAAAGTTCAAATAGAGAAAGCACGAAGAAAATTTTATTTTGTTGGGACAAGGGTTTGGAACATTGGAACTCCATCTAGTTCGTAAAATTTTGCCTTTGTACAAAGTGTCCATGATTCGTTGCTTGAACTGACTCCTTGTTTGCGTATAATCTATGTCGAGTAAATCCATATGCTTGTGCTTCACCTTGAAAGATATGACAACATCTCCATTTACCGCCTCTTTTCAACTGAGGTGGCTTATATATGTGGCAGGCATGGGGAAGCTATTAAGTTGATCATCCGAGAGGTTTTGGTTAAGTTGAAGATAAAATATAAGAATGTGACAAATCAATTGGTTGGAGTGGATGATCATGTTGAAGACATAATGAAGCTCTTGGATGTTGACTGTGAAGGTGTTCGTTTTGTTGGTATTCACGGGATGGGCGGCGTTGGTAAAACAACACTTGCAAAGGTTGTCTTCAACCAGTTGTGTTCGCACTTCGATGATTGCTGCTTTCTTGGAGATGTTCGAGAATCATCAGAAAAAGAGGGCCTAGTAAATTTGCAGAAACAGTTATATTCTGACATCCTCGACTCTAGATTCGTGGACAACATTCATGACATTGATGATGGGATTAACCAGATCGGGACAAGATTTCGCAACAAAAAGGTCCTCGTCGTTTTGGATGATGTGGATAAAGGAGAACAACTAGAGAAACTAGCGGGGGCACGAGATTGGTTTGGCTCAGGAAGTCGGATTATCATTACAACCAGGAATGAAATTACATTAAAAGTCCTGGATGAGATTTTAATTTATGAATTAAAGGAACTGGATTATGATCAAGCTCTTAAGCTTTTCTGTATACATGCTTTTAGAAAAGACTCTCCACCATATCAATATGATACTCCTGCATCAGAAATTGTTGTCACAACCGGAGGGCTTCCTTTGGCTCTTGAGGTCATAGGCTCATTTCTCTATCGCCAACCGGAAGAGATATGGAAAGAGACTGTGGAGAGGCTAGCAAGAATACCTCATAAGGATGTCTGACAGCAGTTGATGATCAGTTACGAAGCATTAGAAGATGAGGAAAAGGAGATTTTTCTTGACATTGCATGTTTTTTCGTCAACAACACAAAAAAGACGAATGCAATTTACATGTGGGAAGCTTGCAATTTTTTTCCTGAGACTGGGATTCAGGTTCTTATGCAAATGTCTTTGGTAAAGATTGTTGATGGTGGTACATTATGGATGCATGACCAGCTCAAAGATCTTGGGAGGCAAATTGTTCTGAGGGAATGCTTGCATGATCCTGGAGAGCGTAGCAGGGTGTGGGTTTGTGAGGAAGCCCTGGATGTTGTAAGAACAAAGCAGGTAAACAAAATTCACTGTTTTCATGAGTTGGGTATGTGCAGAAAAGAGTTCACATTCCCACTTAGAAGCCTCTTGATTCTTTTACCCCAATCGAGAATCTGACTATTTGTCAAATTCTTACTATATATATATTTGTCAAATTCATGCTTGTTCATTTGTGTTCGTTTTGGCAGAGAAAGAAAAAAGTTCGGGCACTCATATTAGCTGGAAGTCTTTATCAACCACTTGTAATTACGCACGACGAACTTAGTAGGTTGCCTAACCTAAGGTTCCTTGAATTAGAGGAGGGAACCTTTGCCGGAGACTTTGGGGATGATTTTTCGAAGTTAAGATGGATTTCTTGGTATTCTCCTAGGCCCCTAGATCTTGAGGTAACCAATCTATCTATGAAGAATTTGGTTGTCTTTGAGATCATTTCAGGCAGCATAACAGATGACTGGAGCGGATGGAGCCTAATCAAGGTATGATATGCATTCGCTTTGATTTTGATTGGCATATAATGTAATATATACTATCTTCTTCTCTTAATGGTCAATCATTTTTGTTAGATGGCAAAGAATCTGAAAGTTCTAAACCTCAGAGGTTGCGAAGGCATAACTAGAACACCGGACTTCTCTGCATGCTTGACTCTAGAGAGGCTGAGTTTCTATAATTGCATAAACTTGGTTGAGATTGAACCCTCCATTGGGAAGCTAAAGCGCTTGATTTACTTAAATCTTAAAGAGTGCCTCTCTCTTAAGGATTTGACCGAAGAAATTGGAAGGCTTATAAATCTGAAGCATTTTGCTTCTAGTGGATGTTTTCAGAAACTTCCGGATTCATTTGGGAAATTGACATCACTGAAGGAGTTGGATCTGTCAAACATCCAAATTGAATGCCTTCCTGATTCTATTGGTGACAAGAAGTTTCTGTCTGTCCTTATTCTAAGGTACACACAAATTAGCATACTTCCAGAGACTATTGGGATGCTTGTGAAACTTGAGTCTCTCTCTCTCTTTGGGTGCGTAAAGTTGAAAAAACTCCCAGACTCAATTGGGAAGTTAGAGTCTTTGCAGGAGTTGAATCTATCAAGTACTAAAATTGTTGAGCTACCAGATTCGATTGGAAATCTGAAGAAATTGAAAGTGATGTTGATGGAAAATACTCCAATAAGGAAATTGCCCAGTACTATTGGAATGTTAAAGAATCTGGAAGAGCTACATGCTAGTGGTTGTGAAGAATTAACTGGTGAAATTCCGAGTGAAATTGGCGCATTGTCCTCTTTGAAAATTCTCGAACTATCAGGTGCCCATATTTCTGGAGTGCCAACAACAATCAATCATATTCCCCACCTTGAAAGACTGGACTTGACAGGTTGTAATGAGGTTCAAAAATTGCCAGAGCTTCCAGAAAGTCTGATCTATCTACATTTTCGATCATCGGCATTGCTCATAGTTCCGGATCTCTCAAACTTGACTAATCTGGTCGATCTGCTGTTATCTGATGGCTCTGAAGATGTGCTTCAAGCTTCACCAGATCCGTTGCCAAGTTCCAGCTTAGGGTGGATTAGGAGGTTGTCCAAACTGAAGAAGTTGGGATTGTCCCTTTCTAATATCCCTGCGCCACCTACTGAGTTTGGTTCTCTTCGTCGTCTAACTGAGCTTATTTTATGTGGACTAGACCTGCAATCTATCACACACCTTCCTCCTTCCTTATCGGAACTGCAACTTGTTAATATTAACTCAACAGTATCTTGGTCAATCTTTTCCAACTTGAAAAACTTGTCCAAGCTACGACTTTCTCAATCACAGCTTCAAGAAATTGAACTCAGTGGACTCGAACAACTGAGAGCATTGTCAGTGACTGAATATGAACTCCTCAAGAGGTTATTCATCCCGGGAAGCTTAAAGAAGCTTAAGGAGTTGTGGGTATTAGAATGTCCAAAGCTAGTTGAGATCGAAGGTCTAGAGGCCCTAGAGTCCTTGGAAGAAATGAATGTGCACTACTGTGGTTCCATTGAAAGGTTACACGGCCTGTCAAACTCAAAGTTGCTGAAGCTTTTGGTTATATCAGACTGCTATAAGCTCCGTGCGGTTGAGGGCCTCAGCGGGTTAGAATCGTTGAATGCATTACTTGTTTATGAGTGCAGTTCACTGGAGACATTAATTATTCCATCGAGCTTATACAAGCTAACACATTTGGAGGTTTCAGGATGTGAGAAAATGATTGAGATTCCAGGTCTTGGTGCATTGGAATCATTGGAGACTTTAACCATTAAAAAGTGTCCTATTAGCAAACTATGCGAGTTATCAAACTTACAGATGCTGAAGTCTTTATCAATCGTTGGATGCCATGAGCTAAAAGCTATTGACGGTGTTGATGAGCTAGAATCTTTGCGCGATTTCTACGTCTCTAGCTGTCGGAAACTGGAAGCTCTGATGGATGTATCAAACACGAAGATGCATGATGAATGCCTAATAACACTTCGGAAGTGTAGGAAATTACGAAGCCGCGGCTATCCTAATGTCGAGGGCCTTCCGTACAGGGATTACAAGGACATGATGGTTACAGCAGCAAACTCTCCTTCAGAGTCGCTCCCTTCGGAGTCATCAGACGAGGTATGCATACTCTTCTTCATAAGAAGTAGCATAGCCCTTGCCCCTTTTCTGCTACCCTCTATAACATAAGTAGTCTTGTCTTGAAGACTATAAGATCTGACTTGTTTATGCATTCCACCTTCGTATATTATTTCTCTTCATCAAATCTATCAGGAAAAACTTAAAACATGGAAAGCCAAATAAAACAATTAAGTATGATGATCTTTAAAAGGAGAAAGTACCGCCTTAAGAGATAGATTAGTTATGGTTCACTGTGTTGTCATTCATTACAAGACGCAGCAAATTTTCATTTCTTTGTAGGAAGAAGATGAAACCAACGATGAAGGGGAAGAACTGGTGGTGGATAGAGACAGCTCTGACGATAAAAGCTCCCCCATGATCATAACTTCTCAAGAACCTGATACCGAGCTTTGACTTTGATTTCTTTCATCCGCGAGTTCTCAGGATGAAGAGACTCCCATTGTAAGCGATGGTGAAGAAGGGGACCCAAATACGACCACAATCTTTCATGATTGCATCAGGGAGATTCATCTCTAATTTCTTCCTACTCAGGAAAAAAGAAGGGATAGAGTCACTGGAGGCCCCTAATCTTTTCCAAACTGTTTAATCGGGTTTCTGAATTTTTCTGTGCGATTGGGTCCTTAAAGTATATGTTTATTGTTGTTCGAGTCGATCTTTTCGTTAGAATGAAAACGGGAATGTTGGCGTAGACTGATACATTGGTGCCAGATCGATGCTGACCGGACAAGTTGGCACTTATGTGTAATTTCGTGAGAGAGAAAAAAGAGAAGAAAGGGGAGGTTGCAGGGGCAGGTGACGATGCCGCCCCCGCGCCGGTGAGCACCATTGAGTCATTGTCGGCCATCACATGGCCCTTGTCAAGGTCAGGCGATAGGTGGGGCCGCGCGACCCAACTGTTGATCGCCCGGGTCATGTGATTAGGGTATTGGAGCTTAGCTAGTTATTTCAAGTAAAATTGAATTGTTATAGAGAATTATGAAAAAAAAAAGTGACGTGGTAGTATATATTCAATCTTTAGGTGCCCCACATCATAGAATAAAGTGTGAATGGAATGGATGGAAATCGATTTAAACATCAAGAAAAATAAAGTAATTGGAAATTCCGTGGCCGTGTAGATAATTCCGAAAGGAAGTTACGTGGACCCTCCCTGACCTCTACGGTGACAGCCTAATTAATTATGCTTTTTTTAAATTTCTATTTGACGAAAACGGTAACCTTTTAGCCCTCTTTCTTCCAACGGCTATAACTCTACAGACCGACCCACGAACCGTGAGATCAGAAGGAGATCCAGCGGCCGAAATTTGAAGGAAAGAAGACCGTTGGAAGGGAAGCGTCGTCTGCTTCATAAAGGAGAGACGAGAGTTCTCCGAATCTTCTCTGTATTCCACACGATCTCACTTTGAGAGAGAGAGAGAGAGAGAGTTGATCGAAATGGCTTCAAGACCCATCAGGGTTCCAGTGCAAGCGAAAGGTGATCAGATTCCGGGCGATTTTGCCCTCCTCTTCTTCTTTGGTTCAACCTCTCTCCGCGACAATTTCTGGGGTGATCGATCTGCTTTAGGAAAATCCCCGTTCGATTCACGGGATTCTCTCGGCTTTTTCTGATGTTCTGTTCTTGATGGTGATTCGGTTTCTGTAAGTCTTGAAAAATTAATAGCCCTATGCGCATCTTCTTGGTAATAATGATCTTGCGATCCGCCAAAGCTCTCGTGTGTTGTCGGCTGATCCTTGTGGGTTGCATACAAATTGGTCGCCGAATGAGCCCTCCCGCACTTAGTGGCTTTCAACTTTCGAGGGAAGGGATGGAACCTTGTTTGGCCGACCATGGTTTTCAACTTAGTGGCTTTCAACTTCCTTATCGCCTTATAATTCATACACGAGAAACACAATTCGGAAGCTTTAAGCCAGTGATATGTGTGGCGACTGCACATTCTCATCATGCGTTTTAATGGAATCAAATCTGATGTAAGGGAAGCGTCGTCAGCTTCATAAAGGAGAGACGAGAGTTCTCAGACTTACACGATCTCACTTTGAGGGAGAGAGAGAGAGAGAGAGGGCGTTTCGCCTGAAAAATCAGATTCGAAGGAGCTTGTTCTTTGATCGAAATGGCTTCAAGACCCATCAGAGTTCCAGTGCGAGCGAAAGGTAATCAGATTCCGGGTTAATTTGCGCTCCTCTTCTTCTTTGGTTCGATCTCTCTCTGTGACAATTTCTGGGGTGATTGATCACTGCTTTAGGAAAATCCCCGTTCAATTCACTGGATTCTCTCGGCTTTTCCTAATGCTCTGTTCTTGGTAGTGATTCTGTTTCTGTAGTCTTGAAAAATTAATAGGCCTATGCGCACATCTTCTTGGTAATATTGATCTTGTGATCCGCCAAAGCCATCGTGTGTTGTCAGCTGATCCTTGGTGATTGCAGACAAATTGGTCACGGGATGAGCCCTCCTACACTCTGTGGCTTTCAACTTTCGAGGGAAGGGACGGAACTGTGTTTGGCCGGCCCTGGTTATAGCTTTTCCTAATGCTCTGTTCTCGGTGGTGATTCTGTTTCTGTAGTCTTGAAAAATTAATAGCCCTATGCGCGCATCTTCTTGATAATATTGATCTTGTGATGCTTCAACTTTCGAGGGAAGGGATGGAACCGTGTTTGGCCGACCATGGTTATAGCTTTTCCTATTGCTCTGTTCTTGGTGGTGATTCTGTTTCTGTAGTCTTGAAAAATTAATAGTACTATGCGCGCTTCTTATTGGTAATATTGATCTTGTGATCCACCAAAGCCACCGTGTTGTCGGCTGAGCCTTGTGGGTTGCATACAAATTGGTTGCGGGATGAGCCCTCCTGCACTCCGTGGCTTTCAACTTTCGACGTAACAGACGGAACTGTGTTTGGCCGACCATGGTTATGGATTCCTTATTGCCCCATAGTTCATACATGAGAAACACAATTTGGAAGCTTTAAGGCGTGTCATGTGTGGTGACTGCATATTCTCATGTGTTTCGTGGAATCAAATCTGATGTACTGAAACAGAATGTCCATTATGTCTCCCAAGATTGAAAGGACTGATGAGGCCAATGTGGACCATTTTAGAAGTGGAAAAAGGCCTCAATACCCTTGATGAAAGCTACTGGACATGGACCAAACCAGGTACACAGTTCCTAACTTCTTTAACGTTCCATGAATAGCTCAGATTCGCAACATTTTGATACTGCAATGTTAGTAGTAGTACAATTGCAAAGAGTCTTTAGTTTGGAATCGGGTACGCTGGGTGACATTTTGATACTGCATCGCATGTCTATCATATGTTTTCTTTAATTTGTTGCAACTGTTTTGCGAGTTTTTTTATTCCTTCCTAGTGGGTTTGTCATTATCATCCCCTTCATTCCAACAGCCTTTTTTTTTGTATCTCTGTGGAAAAAAGTTACTTCAACAAAACTTTTGAAAAGGTCGCACATAGGGCTTAGCAAGATATTGTCCATATACTGGCAGAAGAAGCTGATCCTTGACCTCTTTACTCTATATGCATTTTGTATCAACCGAAAATGGATATTGTTAGAATAATTAGGAGTTTTTTCATATCTGTATCGTCTCTCATTCAATTTACTCTTGTCTTTTTCCACGGTGGTTATAGTTATGGAATAATTAGCCGAGCTAGTGTTTGTTTTCCACCTAATTGGCGCTCTTAGGTGCTATTTTGACATCTTTCCTCGCTCTTTCCGAAAAACCAACGCTACAATGAGAATCGTCGCCCTTAGAAGAATCAAATCCTCAACACGTCAACACGTCACGCATTATCCACCACATAGACTCAACCGTAACCTCGTGCGTGTCTACCATGTCACCAGCAATGGCATCCGCCATGTCACTAGCCACATAAGACTCAATCTGCCACGTTAGACTCAACCGCAACCGAGTGCATATCTGCCACGTCACTAGCAATGTCATCTGTCATGTCACTAGCCACCATCAAACTCACCGCCCTTAGACAAATCTTGCAATTTTGATGCGTTTTGCTGCTCCATGTTCCAAAAACATTTTGCACACGTATAGCTAACGTCATCAGCACGTTAGAGTCAGCCCAAGCAATCCAGTCATTGCAAAACATCCTCTGCCACGTCATCCACAACTTTAGCAGCCACATCAAACTCAATCATGTTTCTACCATATCATCTGCCACGTCAACATGTCATCTATCATGTCACCAACCGCTTTAAACTCAAACCCTTATATTCCACATCATTTTTGTTACTCTTTTTAAGAAACCAACACCATCATTAGACTCGCCGCCCTCATATTAGTCAAATCCGAAAACTCGTTGCACCCCGCCACCCCACGAACTAGAAGTTTCTACGTGTGTATTGCTGACTTTATCAACACGTCAGTGTTAGCCCAAGGAGTCCAATTGTCGGACACGTCATCTGCCTATCAAACTCAACCGTGTATTAGCCATGTCACCAGCCATGTCATAGCAACATCATTTGCCATGTCAGCAGTCGGGTCTTGCCTTAGACGTGTCTCTGCCATGTCAAGAGTCATGTGATCATGTCATCTTTCACTACTCTTTACAAAAAACCAACACCACCATCAAACTCGTCACCCTAAAATAAATCAAATCTTGAAATCAAGCATGGTTATGCAGGAATATATGTAAGAGTAATCTGATGACATAAAGTGTAGTATACATCTATCAAACACATATATAAAGAGACAAAAGAGTTGCACGCAGATTTGTATAGTGGTTCGATTTAAATCAAGCCTATACGTCCAGTCTTTTAGACTAATAGCCACCAACAAGCTGGATTCTATTTATAATCATTTCAGAGGTTACAATGGCTCGTGCTTCTAGCCAAAGCTACTAATTCCCTTGCACTACTACAACACTCTTATACTTTTTAACAAAGATTACAATCAGCAAAACACTTTCAGTGACACTATACAATTTTCTCAACAAGAGTATAAGAATAGTTATCTATTAGTTTCTCGTGATTTGTGTATTTCTTCAACGTATGCTAATCTTCTTATATTTTCTTCAAGATCCATACCAACGGTCGAAAAAATCTTCAAGATGATCATTTCAGCCATTGAGGATAAGTTCCACAATCATTGGGAGATCTGATCGCCATACAATCAGATATTCTTAGCATTCACGAGACTTTCGCGAATATAACTGCCTATGTTAGGAAATAATCCCTCTTGGCAATATGATCCTTATAGCATTAAATTTCTTTCCATATAAATCTCGTGAATTCCAAGCGTGTGGTTATCTATTAATATTCCTTTAGATTATTTCAACAAGGAATGTCTAGGTCTTAATGATATGATGTGTTACAATACGCATGTTCTTCTCAGGCGATATAACGAACCGCTTCTATCAGCAACTGTTAATTCTATAACGGCTTCCCACCATGTCGCGACCTACCCCTCTAGGGCCGCCTCAGGGAAGTAGATTTAGAGGTATTTTTATGGGACCCTCCGTAAGTCTATACCTCGCGTGATATTGATTGTTTAAATTTATGTGTTCGACAGGAGTCGCCACTAGTCATGATTAAGGATCGACTAAAAACCCTAATCGAGATGCGGGAGTGTCGTCCCGAAAATATATGCAACCAGAGATTCTTAGGGATCGGGGACTTGATTGCACTAGTTTTTCAACTAATGCCCTTTTGATACCTTAACTTGACTATTTGCTAATCAAAATATCATGGCAGTCCTTCACTAATGGAAAATTCTAAATTTTGTCCAAACCATTCTAAAATGAAAATGCACAACTAGCAACCTAGCTTTGTCTCTAAAAGAAAAGATAATCACAAATTCCTAAAGTAAAACCCTAAAGGCTTACTCGATTTTGGATTCAATTTTTGTTCAAGCCTAAAAGTGTTTAGTGAAAGCCTAAACTAAGAGAATTCTACATTTTTTTTAGATTTTTTCCCTTTTTTTATTTTTCTGAATTTTTTATTTTTTTATTTTTATTTCTGGAAAAAGGGAATTCGGACCGGGTCAAGGAACCCGGTCCAATTCTCTTGTCTGACCCGGACCTTGAAGGTCCGGATTGGGTCTGAACTCGGATCAGCTTTTGAGCTCAATATGAATAAGGCCCAAATTATCAAATTTCTCCTGGCCCAGTACTATTTTAGCCCATGTCTATCTTTTAATCCACAATATTCAACCCGGCCCAGTCTGTTTATTGGATCCGACCCAGCTTTCATGATATATGCCCATTTTATTTCTTTTCTGATTTTTTTGGTCTCCTTTTTTATTATTCTTTTACTTTACTATTTCTATTTATTTATTTAATTTTTTTTTTCTGGCCTTCTTCTTCGCGAGACCTGCATGGAAAAGAGCTTCTCCACCGAAACATCACCAAAACCGTCGGCCATCAATTCCGGCCACCACCGAACTTCCTTTGACAACAACTTACGGCCACCGTCGCCCCTCATCACACGCCGTCCACAATTTAAAAAAAAAAAACAAGGCCTCTTATTCAATCGGTCACCAATCTCCATCTAATCAAACATGCTAAATCTAAACACACATACACACATATATCAAGGGAATAGGGAACTAACAAGGACGGCCTCTAACCGCAGGCATCTCTGGAAACGAAGGCTAGAGAATAGCGACTCGAGACTCATGTGTCCCATGGATGATCGGCACCGAAAATCGTAAATGCGTAACATGAAACGAAGGGTAAAAACGCGGAATCACCCTAGTTATGCAATCAATGAAGTAATCGTGCATATCTCTAAACATCGATAGCACAAAACTAGTTTCAGCACTTCTCTCATATGCAGTTTCAAATATGAACTCTCGGTTCGGATTCAATATGATTCTCAGCTGGAATGCGATATAAAAGACCTCAAATCATGATTATTTTTACAACAAATCAACCTCGATGCGTCGGGATTTTCGTACAGATTCATCAAGTAAGACTCGGTCCTTCTACGCTCAGTGATGCAAGGGAAAACAGAGCATTGAAGAGAGAACGGAGTCTTACCTGGTTCGTGCGGCGAGAAAGAATCGCCGGAAACAGCAAATGAATGAAGCCAACGATCACTTTCTCCCTCAGAATCTTGATCGCGAAACCGAGTAAACATGGCAAGTTCGGTGCTCCTCAAGCAACCGCCGGCGAACTCGATATTAGTCGGAGCCGACGGTGATCAAAGTGTGTGGGATCCCTCAAGCCGACTGAGAACGACGGAGAGAGAGAGGAAGTTCTCTCTCCCTTCTTCAGAGTTCCAACTGATTCTGTTCTTCTGCCCCCCATAGCCGTTATCTCTACAGGAATCTAAAAAACCAATTCCGTTAGCCCTTCTCCAGCTCAGCTTGTAGAGGAGCTTCGATTTTTTTGGGCTTTGATCACCTGTTTGTGAGACACGATCTTGTTATGTTCCCCCCGCATCACCCACGAGCTCTCCCCCTTCTTTTATTCTCTTTGCTGAGATGAAGTGCAGAAGGAGAGAGAAACGGTGAAGAAAGGTCAAAACTGGGCTGGGCTTCTTTTCTTTTTCTTTGAAAATTCCTTTTTATTTTATTTTATATTTTCCACTCTCGTGGCCCTTTTATTTTTTTCTTCTCTCTTTCTTTTTCTTCTTATTTTTTTTGTATTTTTTTTACTATTTTCCAATTTTTTTTATTGATTTCGATTTTCTTGATTTTTTTAAAAAATTAGGTGTCAACATGCCATTTAATAAACAAGCGTGTTGCCATCCACTTTATCTTCCTTTGTACGAATACACGACCATATGAACTGTTCATCTTATCATAGTACTTCTCAGTTTTTATGAACTGTTTGTTCCTTGACTTGTTCACTCTAAATAAGGTTCTTCCGATCATCTTTTGTCTTTTACTTCAAATTTCAAGTAATCAGCAGCGATAGTATTCTCTTTATATTTGTTCAATCCTGAGACAAGACAACATCTGCATTTATCCGATAATTGATAGAACCAGATGATTTTATCAACGTCAAAAAATCATAAGAGATTTTCTCCATAAGGTAAAGTTTCCGTGTGCTGCAATAAATGATGGGAGGCTTCTCTTGGCTATATATAAAAGAGCTCTCTAGGCGTTGAAGGTGTGCCTTTGAGGACCGAAGAAGAAGAGGGTCATTACGTGATTGTTCTTCACGTGAATTTCGTTCATGAATTACAACCTTCGTTCTATCGCTTATTTTATAGTCGAATTTTGTGTTGCTCACCCGTGGACATAGGTCATGCTGATCGGAACACGTAAATCCGATGTCTAATTTATTTCCTCTTTCTACCTATTTTATTCTAACGCTTGTTCTTTAGTCACAAGAAAACGCGTCCAAGATATATGCTCTAAACTTCGAGCTAATGTTCCATTG